AGCTATAACCATTTTTGTATGTCCAGATACCCCTTTTTCAGACAAATTGGGGGGGTGGGGGGCACTGATTGGTGGGCCTGATGGATAGAGCTTCATCAGAGCTAAACAACAAAAGAAATCTGAAGCATCTATGTTGAACAGTTTCTGAGTTATAAGCATTTTTGCATGTCCAGACACCCCSWCTWTGYADGGAGCCCCCTCCTCAAATATGGGGTCTATTGTAAAACCGTTGGCTGGTGCAGTGTAGGTCAGACTCATCTACAGTCCTGCCAAATTTCATGTTGATCGGTGCAGCTGTTTTTGTGCTGCAATTGACCAAAAATCAGAGAAAAATAAAAATAAATAAACAGTACGAAAACAATATGACTCCCGCTTACGCTTCGTGTGCGGGGGTCATGATAAAAAAATATATATCTTAAAATGAGAGAATAAATAAATAATAAGCAAACTGCCACGTAGGAAACAGAACATTTTCTGGGCCACCCCTAAATTATAGTCTAGCTCCGCCACTGGGTCGAGGCAAAAAGGTTGGGCTGCAGGTGTTGGACCTCAAAGAACAAAGACCATAACTGTGATTACAAATCAGACAGGAACAGTTTAAATCTTATGAGATATTTTACACCTGAAGCATGAAACTTTGAACAGGCCTGATGTATTTCAAAAAGAAATTATAAACTCAGTAGGAAACTACACATCTTCACCACAGTTAGTACAAAGAAACATAATATTTGAGAAATCTTTAGGTTTGGATTTCTGGATATTTTTAAAGCTTGAATCACTTTTAAAACTTTGTTGAAGAGCTCAGTCAAGGATGACTTTTTTGTAAACCTTTTTATTTCGTCCGTATTAGGAGGAATGTTGGATAATAAAAATAAACAGTTCGACATGTGTCTTCACTCACCGCCGCAGCAGACGGCTGGATGTTCTCCACTGTGTGAGCACCCAGGGGGACCAGAGCTTTATTTTGGAGCATAAGCATGTCATCGTCCTCTGGAGGTTTCCAGATGTACTGCTCTCCGTTGCCCATAAACATCACTTCCTGTCAACAGAACAACAAAGCACATTTGGAGCAGAGCTGGTCACGTGTGCACGCTGCTGCACAAACAGGAAAACATCTTCGAATATAAAAACTGCCTTTTTCCCCCCAAAAAACTGCTCTAACAGRACTCMTGAATAACAAATAACCCTCTTTTAAGAAGAGCTGTAGTGTTGGAAACACGCTGGAAGCATTTCATACAGCATTGAGCAGATTTTCCCTGAAAGGTGGAGCCTGTGATGAAGCAGGTGCTTTAGTTGTGGATGACTCAATTTCAGCGCGTTGCATCATCCAGAAGGGAATCGGTGGTGAGCAGACCTGCGAGCGAACTGCACGCACGTGTCAGCCCYTGACCTGTGTGTGGGAATGAACTCGGGTCACAGCAGGTAGCGCGACCTCGCCGACCTCATACGGGGGCAGCAAACGGTGTCCCACTGTCACCTGGAGGGGAGCAGAGGGCCGAACGTCTGCAGCAGAACCAGACAGTCAACCTGCACMCCCGCTGCTGCGAGCACATGGAGCAGGTGACACTGCTGAGAGCAGAAACACCCCGCCATCACCAAGAACTCCCGGACTATTAAACACCGCTCGCTCGCTCGCTGCCCCACACCTCACAGACAAGAACACAGCGTATGAGACGAGACGAGCGCAGCGGAAAACTGCAACGCTGGCACAAACGTACAGATCCTCTGCAGCATCAACAGGAAACCTGACGAAATGCTCCTGATCACAACTGCAGCTGACAGGGAACAATATCATGGAATATTTATGGCTCTGACAGTTTTTACACACATCAGAGCAGACGCTGATCTGTCCTCTGTGTGTCTGCAGGACTGATGGGAGGAAAYCATCAACTCAGTCTTTGTTTGCTGAATATAAACTCATCTTCTGTCAGACCTCTGCTAAAACACCAACAAGCTCTTTGACTGACTTCAGTTTAGAAAAGCAAAGAATATTTCTGACCAAACRAACAAACTAAAAGCTAGTCTGAGCGAGGCCAGGACCAAAATGGATTATAAATAGCTCTAGTCCCAAACTTTTTATAGCTATTATTACAAATGTCCTTTATTTATTTCAAATTACACGAGTATTTACATCAAATTCAATGGTTTGTTTTAGTGCAAGAAGCAGCAGCAGCAAGCTGTAGCACTTCCTGTGCAATCCGGAACCCTTTCTGCAGGAATATGATAATATTTCTGTCGGAATAAATGGAATAAACTAATAAAAGGTTTYTAAAACAGAGTCAGTCTGAGCACAACAAAACTCGTCAGATTAGTTTGAATACGGCAGCGTTCCATTTCGGTCTCCGCTCTGCTCAAACTAGTCAGGTCCTCGAGGGCGGCTCTCCTGCAGGTTTTAGAAGTTTCTCTGCTCCCACACACATGGTTTAAATGATTTCAATGATTACCAAGCTTCGGCAAACTTTAAAAGATATTTCAGTCACAGAATCAGGTGTGTTGGAGCAGGGAAACAAMGAAAACATGCAGGAGCGCGGCCCTCAAGGACCAGGACTTCCCACATTTTATAGCTCATCACTTTGGTTAGAATTAAGCTCTTATTTCGCCTAACTTCCTCAGACACGAACATTTATCAGAGCTGACTCTCAATTATTTTTTCCTCATCTTTCAGTTCATGAAAAAAACCTGATCGCCACTTTCCTCATTTGATCGCCAAACGTTTTATTTTCTTCGAGGTTTTTCACAAAACACCACAAAAGGACCAAAGACTGAACTTTTTTCTGTTTCCTGAAAACTTGAAAAGACGAGTTAGGGTTGTTTCAAGCAGTTTTAGAAATTTTCTTACAGTTTTTTAAGACTTTCAAGATTCAACATTTAAATCCTAACAAGGACACATTTTTGTAATTTTAGACAAAATAATAAATAAAAGAATGCAAAATTCAGTCTGTCAGCATAAAGTCTAACCCAGGCTGGGTAATCCTGGTCCTCAAGGGCCACTATCACTCTTCTCTGCTCCAACACACCTGATTCAGTGTCACCTCTTCAAGTTCTGCAGAAGCCTGATAATCCCTCAGGTGTGTTGGAGCAGGGACACAAATCAAACCTGCAGGACAGTGGCCCTCGAGGACCAGGATTGGACACCCCTGGTCTAACTGCTGGTGTAAATCAGTGAAAACAAAATCATATTTGCAAACATTCTTGTGCATTAAAACCAACAATCTGATGGACGAGCTGAACTTTCTGCAGGTGCAGGAGAGCAAACAGCCTTCATCATTTCAAAATGAAAGAAGTCAGATGTTTATAAGCTTAACAGAAACCATTCCTGACTAAAAGATGCTGGGAATCTGCCAAAGGGCATCAAATCAATTTGACATCATGAGAAGCATCTTTTTTCCCCCAAAATGTCATGCTGTGTGAGTCAGGAAGGAAATAATCAGTAGCCTAGATGTCATTAGAGTATTTACTATTTTATATTCAGTTGTGCATGGTGCACCATTATTTTTTGTGATTTACAGTTTTTGTCCAGGATGAGCTGCAGGACAGGAAACATGTTGCTTATTTTTGCAAAAAGAAACAAGAAAAAACACTGTTGTGATTTAAGACAAACAGTATAATACTGAAGTAAATTAATTAATATCGGAAACTATAAACCTGAGAATCTCTGCACTGACTGAGGTTGAGTTTTTTAACCAAGAGAAAAGAATAAACTCCTGAAGGAGAATGAATCCAAGTTTGTGAGAATATTCCTGAGAATCATTGAAACAGTTATCATTGCCAAAGACTGAGGCGAGACATGAACTGTTTGGAGAGAGTGAAACATTTAAAATGGACGCGCTGCAACAACATCGCAAGCTTTATTTGTGAACTTTGGGAAACGTTGACAAAGAATTAGAGAGTAAGATTCCTGCTTGTGTCTGGGAGCTGTGGCTTTAAAACATGCTAAAGATGGGCTCAGTTACCCAGACTGGAAACAAACAAGGGAAGTAAAGAAAGCCTCGAGCAAAAATGCTCCATCTGCACCTAATGTCACCGAATTCTGTGAGGTTTCATTCAAACATTTGTTAAACTTGGGGATCTGTTTCCTTCTGACAGCATTGTGTAAAGAGCTGCGGGGCCACATTTAAAAGGACTGAGGGTCTTTTATCAAACTCTGTCATCAACCACAACTTCAATAAAAGCAGTTCAATCTCACAATAAAGGTGTATTTGTTTAATGCCCAAGCTGCTCAGAATGATGTTATCCTTGATTTTGTGAAATAAAGTGAGCAGCTCCATACTTTACCTGTGCACATTTGAAAAATGTGCTTCAAAATGKGGCATGATTGGACTTTTATTGCATTATTACGCTGTATTCTTCAGTCACAGCATGATTTAATTACCAATTGGTTGCTGTTGGCAAAGAGAACAAACAATCCTTTCAATCAATTTGCTTTGAAATTGTCACATTTTTTAAATCTATTACCCATCTTTTTGGGCTAAGCTGATGCCACTCTTGCTGTTGTTTTCTGTTTATGCTGCAGCTTTACTGATGTTTTCAGGTCAATCAAACAACTTGCAGGTATTTACCCCTCCCCTCTTCTTCGTCATGGGTTAAAAGATTATGTCACCGAGGCAGACTCCTAGCTTATTGTGACACACAAGGTATGAAAGAAGCATTTTTCAGCATTTTAATCAGACAAATCAGTTTGGGACTTTGGCAACTTTGTGGGGTCAAAGGTTTTTMTAAGGACCGTATCCAGCCCACAAACCATCTGATAAATAGACCTGCTCTAAACTGAGAGGCACCAAAAATAAACTGTCGCTCATAAAATGTGTCTTCTCTATAGCCAGTTTGCATGTTTTACTTTGGGTTAACTCATAGTTTAATTTAAACTCAGCCGCTTTGGATGTTATCAGTCCATTAAACTGACATTATGAGTGGTTATCAGTCCCATAGAATGGCTTCAGACTGTGTACCTATACCTACTAATACGTTGGAAGGCAACAATCTGCCGGACTCCGGTCTACTTTAACCTAGCCCAGGTCATTTTCTCTAAAATTAACCTTGGTGGCTTTCTGCCTCATACTAACCAGCTGACAGTCTGAAGCCATTCTAAGGGCTGATAACCACTAATAACGTCCGTTTATTGGACTGATAACATCCTAAGTGGGTGTTAAACTCTTGGTTATATCTTCATCCTTGAATTTTGGCAAATTTATTCTGAAATTTGTGTTTTAAATGGAGGGGGGGGGGGGGGGGG